GCCCGCACACCACAACGAAGAGTAGACCCTGCTCACCGCAACTAGAGAAAGCCCACACGCAGCAACCAAGACCCAATGCAACCAAAAATTAATTCATTTTTTAAATTTTATTTAAAAAATAAATAAAACATAATGGTTCAAAAAGGTTGAAAGTAAAAGAACTGGAAAAGATATACTGTGCAAATATAAACCCAAAGGAAATTATATAATAACAGATACAGTAGACTTGAAAGCAAAAGCATTACTGGAAATAAACAAGGGCACTTCATATCAACAAGTCCAATTTACCAGGAAGTTTTAAATTTGTATGCACTTAACTTCATATTATATAGAAAAACAGAGCTACAAGGAAAAAAATAGACAAATTCACTATCATAATAGGAGATTTAACATACTGCTGTCATCCACTGATAGAGGATACCTCTTTCAGAACCAGTAGACACCCCCCCAAAAAAATTAGTAAGGATATAAAAAATAACGTGAGCAGCAAATTTGATTCAACAAGCAGATATATAGTCACTGTACTCCAAAACTTTAAATTACAAATTATTTTCAAGCACACTTGAAACATTTTTAAAACTGACCATATTGTGCTATAAGGCAAATTTTAACAAATTTCAAAGTATTAAAATTATACAAAGTGTGTTTCTTGATTTGTAGTTAAGCTACAAATCAGTAACAAAAAAGTAACTAGGAGTTATGAAATACACTACTTCTAAGTAACCCCCCCCAAAAATCACAATTGGAGTTAGAAAATAATTTGAACTGAATGATAATAAAAATATTACATACCAAAACTTAGATGTGACTAAAGCTGTGCTTACAGGAAAATGTATAGTCTTAAGTGCAAATATTAGGAAAAAAGAACAGCTGAAAGTTCATAAGCTTTGCATCCATTTCAAGAACCTATATAAAACAAAGCAACTATACTCTAGTAAAAATTAATTTAAAAAAAAGAACCTATATAACAGTAAATTAAACCCAAAGAAAGCAGAAGAAAGAAAATGTGCACATAGAGATGTCTGGAAGGATGTATACTTAAAATGATAGCAGTTTTTGTCTCTTGGGGTAGGATTTTGAATTAATTTTATTTTTCCGTATTGCTTAAATAAGCTGGAACAAACAAAGCCATTTTCATTTTAAGAGAAAAAGTACTAGAGAAAAACATGGGATAATTTTTTTTTAAATAATATAAACTGTTGTGGTGACTCAACACCAGAAGTTATAAGCAAAAAAGACTGGTAGACTTGACCTCATGTATGAAAATTTTCCACATGGTTAAAAATACTATGAACAAAAGCAAAGACAGATGACTAACTGGGAAAAATATTTACAACTCATCACAAATGGCTAATCTCTTTAATATATATATATTTTAAACTCATACAAATCAGTAAGAAAAAATGAATGACAATTAAAAAGGAGCAAATGATATAAGAAATTTACAGAAAAGGAAATACAAATGGATCCTAAACATATGAAAAGCTATTCAGCCTTACTCGTAATAAGAGAAATGGACATTAAAATTGTCTTGAGATTCCATTTCAATCATGAAATTGGCAAAAACAACTCTGTTGTTAACACTGATTTTTTTGGGGGGGGGCGGTGGGGAAACTTGTCATATCATATATTGCTAATAGTAATACAAATTGGTTTAATCTTTCTAGAGGCAAATTGGCAATATTCAACAAAATTTAAAATACCCAAATCTTAAAAAAAACAATACACAAATCTTTTGAGGCAACAGTTCCATATCTAAGTATTTATTACATATGTACAAAATGATGAGTAGGCAAGGCTATTAACTGCAGCACTGTTCCTAATAGCAAAAGACAACCTAAATAAACATCCTGAGGGTCTTGTTGAATAAATTATGGTAGATCCATACAATGGGATGCATCTACAAAAGAAGAAAGGGGCGGGGGGGGGGGGGGAGAATGAGGTAGTTTTGTATGTATTAATATAGAACAGCCTCCAAGATATATTATTCAGTGAAAAAAGCAATGTGCAGAAATGTGAATAGTATGCTATGATTTTTATAAAATGTTTTAAAAGAATGTGTATGTGTGTACATATTGGTAAGTGCATAGAGTATATCTGGAAGGATATACAAAGAACTAGCTGGAGGGGAGAGGCCCCTGGGGAAGGGAACTAAGTAGCCAAGGAATGAGATAAGAGGGAGACAACGTTTCACTCTATATCCTTTTGTATCTTTTGAATTTTGAGCAGGTGTATGTATTGCCTATTCAAAAGTAAATATTTTAAAACCACATCTATGTACAATTTTGTGTTCTGATTTTACACTTATTTTATAAATATTTCTCTATAGCATATTCCATGTAGTTAATATAACATTAACAGTTTCTAGGAGCTTTCTTCCCTCTTCTGTTATAAATAATGATCTAGATATTTTGTGTCATTAATATAATACTATATTCCCTCATGCCTTCCTGCCTTACACATGTTCTTCTTTCTGCTTAGAACGCCATATTTACCCTGCTCTCTCCTTGCCCGCACATTCAATGTGCTCATCCTAACAGTTCCAGTTCAAATACTAACAGCCTTACCTGATTCTCTCAGGAATACTTACTCAGTACTTTGTATACCTCCAGTATAGAGATTTTTTATTTTATGGTAATTGACTACTTATTAGTTTTTCCTCCCCAAAGAATACGTCTTTTCATCTTTGTTAATCAAATCCTCTGACACTCCCAACCCTTGCCAAGATCTTACTAGCTAGTAGGTTGCAGTTAAAGTCCATAGTTGCAAAATCTCTAGGGATGATACCAACACCTCAGAGGGTCCTGTGCCCACATCAGCCCATTCCAGGGAGGGGGTTTGTTATCTCATTTATGTTCCTGCAGCTCTACTGTTTGTTCCTGCAGTCTCTCTTTGTGTTTTCAGAAACACTGGTTCATTACTGATAGCTGTCTTCCCTTTTAGGGCCGTGAATAGCCCCTGCCACCATCTCCGTCCCCTCAGACCACTGGTGCTAATTTCACATTGGCCTGGAAATGGTAGAAAGCTGGTTAAGGATGTGATTTCTAGAGCCAGACTGTGCTTGGGCTTGAATTCCAATTCTACCATTTAGTGTCTGTGTGATATAGGGCTTTCTTTCATTGAACCTGACTGTTCCTCAGTTTCCTCAAATGTAAATGAGGCTAATGAAAGTAATTATCTTAAGGTTGTTGCCAGAATTAAAGGATCTAATTTTTAAAAACGTTTAGGACAGTGCCTAGCACACAGTAAGCATTGTATAAATGTTAGTTTTTAATCATTCACTTTACCAAGTTCTCTAAGTGAAACTAATTCCCCACAGCATAACAGAGATCAGGTTACAGTTTACAAGAATTCTTTGCTGAAGTCTCCAGAATAATTAAAGGCAACAACAAAGGAGAAAATTTTACAAAAGTGGCCACTCATCTACACTGATCCTCTATAGCAGCAGTCCCCAACCTTTTTGGCACCAGGGACCGGTTTCATGGAAGACGATTTTTCTACGGACCGGTGGGGGGTGGGGTGGGGAGGGGTTCAGGCGGTAGTGGGAGCGATGGGGAGCGGCAGATGAAGCTTTGCTCACTCGCTGCTCACCTCCTGCTGTGCGGCCCGGTTCCTAACAGGCTGCGGACCGGTACCGGTCCACGGCCCCAGGGGCTTGGGGACCCCTGCTCTATAGGGTGGCTCCCTCCCTGTAGGAGAACCAGAATTTCCCTCACCATTTTGAGTAATATTCCAGAATATCAGAGTCCAGACTAACCCCTTAAAGACCAGAAGGAGGAAAATTTTTAATTCATCTCCTAATCCAATGTTTATTTCCCTAATACAATATTTATTTCTCCTTTTGTCCCAGGAGCTACCTTTCTCCATGATAACTGACAATAGGATTTTCAACTACTTTCAGAGGCTCCCTCATGTACTCAACAGTACTATCCCATCAAAACCATGGTCTGACGTTAGTGTATTTCCCAGAATTGAGTTTTCCAATCAATTCTGTCAGGTTCCTTTTTATAGCTGTTTTAGGACAATTTCCATGAGGGCAAGGACTCTGCCTGCCTTGTGCACTACTGTATTTCCAATGCCTGAATGTAGTAAGAACTCCATAAACACATGCATTGTGTATGAATGAGCCCTTCCTTTGAAAAAAGATGAAGCTCAGGCCTGCACACTCTTCTTTCAGTCTTCTCAATCTTAGCTTCTGATCTCTTGTGAGATTTACTTAAAGCAAGAATCAGCTAAATTCATAATTTTAAAAGAAACTTCTCTAAAATAAATACACTCTCCAGAGATGCAACTATGCTTACAATAGAGACAGCTGTCGTGCATTATGAACTCTGCTTTACAAAGTGGTCTAATAAGGTGATTTTCAAAAAAAAAAAGCTAAGATGCAGATTTAAGGTGACAGCTTGTCTGAGGCTTACCTAACTCATCAAGATATTCCTTTATTTTAAAAATATTGATTGAGGGCTTCCCTGGTGGCGCAGTGGTTGAGAGTCCGCCTGCCGATTCAGGGGACACGGGTTCGTGCCCCGGTCCGGGAAGATCCCACGTGCCGCGGAGCGGCTGGGCCCGTGAGCCATGGCCGCTGAGCCTGCGCGTCCGAAGCCTGTGCTCCGCAACGGGAGAGGCCGCAACAGGGAGAGGCCCGCGTACCGCAAAAAAAAAAAAAATATATTGATTGAGCACTTACTTTGTGCCAGGCATTACAGTATTATTGTATGAACAAGACTGACACACAGTCTCTACTGTGAGCTTAGTCTTTCAAGACAATTAAACAATAAAGTGTGATGTGTTGTTACCATAGGGGAAGTATTCTAAGGCTAGAGGTCTTCTGCCTGCACTTGAACAAGAGCAGCTCTGCACTGATCTTTTTTTTTTTTTTTATGTAAAAAGTCTTAGTTTATTAACTCTCTCATGAAAAATCTGCACAATCACCACAGACACAGTCACTGCAGAGTCTTTATTCCTTCTGTTGTCCAATCTCCAGCTCACTGCTAGACACTTCATTTCTTTTTGCCAGCACCAACATTGGCCTTTGCAGTCCCCCTGACTTTCTTCATTCTGTTCTTGCGTTCCTTTCGCTGTTTTCTCGAGGTCTTTTTCTTCTCGTACAGGCCATGTCTTGCAAGCCTGTGTTTGGGCTCATTCTTCTTTGCGTAATCCAAGGAATCGTAAATCATGCCAAAGCCAGTTGTCTTGCCACCACCAAAATGGGTTCGGAATCCGAACACAAAGATGACATCTGGTGTGGTCTTGTACATTTTGGCTAGTTTTTCCCGAATTTCTGTCTTAGGTACTGTTGCCTTCCCAGGATGAAGGACATCGATGACCATTTGTTTCCGCTGAAGTAGTCGGTTGGTCATGAACTTCCTTGTCCGGATAGTTACCGTGTCGTTCATAATGGCGGCTGATCTTCAAGCAGCCAGGAAGGAAAAGAGCCACTGATCATTTTTATATTTTGAGATTCCAAGTGAGATTTTTTGTTGTTGTTAACCTGGCTCCAGTATTACAAAAAGTTTGAAAATTACTGCCATATATATATATATATATATAATTTATTTATTTTTACTTATTTATTTGTGACTGCATTGGGTCTTTGTTGCTGTGTGCAGGCTTTCTCTAGTTGCGGCGAGTGGGGGCTACTCTTCGTTGCAGTGCGTGGGCATCTCATTGCAGTGGCTTCTCTTGTTGCAGAGCACGGGCTCTAGGCACGCAGGCTTCAGTAGTTGTGGCACGCAGGCTCAGTAGTTGTGGCTCACGGGCTTAGTTGCTCCGCGGCATGTGGGATCTTCCTGGACCAGGGCTTGAACCCGTGTCCCCTGCATTGGCAGGCGGATTCTTAACCACTTAGCCACCAAGGAAGCCCTGCCATATATTTAATGTGAATTTCATTCTGAAAATCTATTATGTGAATGAATGAAGAGACACTGCATATATAGTTAAAATCACCCTATAAGCATTACCATCCTCCTTTTATAGGTGAGAAAATGCAGTTCACAGAGTAACTCTCCAAAGTCTTTTCCCCTCCCAGTTTTATTGAGGAATAGTTGACAAATATAATTGTATAAAGTGATGGTTTGATATACATCTACATATAAATCATATACATGTGATAGTTATATATATTTTGGAATGATTACCAACATCAATATCCACATCCATCACTTCACATAGTTTACACATATGTGGTTAAGAATGCTTAAGATCTACTCTCAGCAACTTTCAAACATATGATACCATTTTATTAATTATAGTCACCATGCTGTACATTAAATCCTCAGAATTTATTCTTTTTATAACTGAGAATTCGTATCCTTTGACCTACGTTTCCTCATTTCTCTCTCCCCCGTCTCTAAAGTCTTATGACAATTAAATTGCAAGCCTCATTCCGAATCTCTGCACTCTACCACACCACAGAGCCTACACCCTAAATGGAATAAATATTTATTTCTCTAGGAGAAGGAACTCTAGTGAGATATTACAAGCTTTGCCTTACACTTATCCAATATCCAATATTTCAAAGAAAGAAATATATAGCATGCAAATAAAAGACAAAAACCACATCATCATCTCAGCGAGTAAAGAAAAAGCGTTTGGGAAAAAAATCCATATCCATTCATGATACAAACCTTCAACACTAGGAAGAGAAGGGAACTTCCTTATCTTGATAAAGGGCATCCACGAAAAGCCTACAGGTAACATCATACTTAAGGAAGAGACAATGCTTTCCCCCCTAAAATCAGAACAAGACAAGGTTGTCTGTACTGGAGGTTTCAGCCATTAGAAATTAAAGTTGTAGATAGACTATAGAATTTGATGATTAACGGGATTTGATCCAAAATTACTGCCATGGGTTGGAACGATTAACACTGCAAACAAGATATGTAAGTTAAGGCCAAAAATAATGTGCTTAGATTTAAAAACAAACTGGAAGATACAAATTTTGCAAAAGGGTTACTGGGCACCTACTGTGTGCCATGCACTAGAGATAAGACATTATTCCTTCCTCGATGAGTTCATTCCAGACCCAAAAATGCCTAAGCTACACTAAGGCAAGTCTTCCCATGACCTCTAAACTCTTTTGGCATTTATTAAGAATTTTCTAATTCAATTGTGTTAACTGTTCAGGGCTGAGACTGTATATACTTTGATTCTCCACGGTTCCCAATAATTCTCAGGAGTTTACTACCCTCCTAATAGATCACTGCATTGGCCCCCCGCTATCTCAGCTGAACTACAAGGAAGTTAAAGAAGTTTATTCGAAGCCGAAACATGTGAATCGCGCGTTTTAGGATGACAGCGTCCGAAACAGCACCTAGAACTGCCTGAAGTTGTAACAACTCTTCAAGTGTCCGGAAGCGTTTTCTGAGATTACGTCTCTGAGCATGAGCGGAAGTCACCCTTTGAGCAATCTGCGGTTTAATTATATTCAGGACAGAGACATCCGTTTCCATTCTTGTCTCCTCGTTGCACCCATAAGCAAGTGATCAGGTGACAAATTTCTCTTCGTTACTATAAAATAAAGATCGTATTCAAAGAAGTTTCAAGGTAGCCCAACTCCCCATCGTCCAGTAGTAAAGATGGAGGCGCCCTGAATGTAAACTACAGGTAATACCACTTCCGTGTTTCTCTTGCGCCCTGGTCCAAGATGGCGGATGAGGCCACCCGGCGTGTCGTGTCTGAGATCCCGGTGCTGAAGACCAATGCCGGACCTCGAGATCGGGAGTTGTGGGTGCAGAGACTCAAGGAGGAATATCAGTCTCTTATCCGGGTCAGTTGTGCTTCTACTGCCAACCGCGTCTCAAAAGGGTTGCGGGTAATCTGGTGTCCTTAGGAATAGGCTCCGTGTGGAAGCCGCTTCCGGTTTTAAAGTTTAACTTTACGAATTCATAGATATTGGACGACTGCGGGGCTGGGGGACTTAGGGAGGCGCGGTGGGGAGGAGGTGCCTCCTAAGAGACTCAGGTTAGGAGCCACGGTGGCGCCAGACTTTCTGACTGAAAGCAGCAGTTATTTGGGGGATATGCCGCCCCGGAGGATGACGTGCCCTTCTGGCCCCAGGTGATTGCTCTCCTGGATGTAGGGGAGGTGGTCAAAAGGAATTCCTGGAGCCCTAAGTCCCGGTCCGCGTCTCTCCGCTCCCTCTTTCACTTGTCCTGAGGGAGGAATCCACGTTAGAGCTAAAAATTCAAGTAGATATTAGTTGCAGAGAAACAAGGAGCTGAGCTCAGGGTTAGGAACGACCCATCTTCTGAGCTAATCTCCCTTCTGTGGAAGGAGAAGAAAATTTGACTTTCTTGCGGTGGTCTCTGTTTCAAAGGCTAGCAACTTTCCTGATGCATGTATTCATTAACTAAAAAAACATTTATTGTATACCAAGTACCTAGGAAGGGCATCCAAAGCCGAATAAAGTTGAGCCTACGGAGGTGGACAGAAACATCATGATAATACATTATGTGGAGAAACAGGGAGAAGGAGTCTGAGAAATTGCTAAGGTGTTTTGAAGCAGGAGGTGAGATACCGAAATCCAGCTTGGGTCTGGTCAGGGAAGGTTTCCTAGAAGAGGCAATGCTTGAGCTGAGGCTTAAAGGGTGAACATAAGTTGGCCTGATAAAACATGAAGGTAAGAGAAGAACATTCAAGGCAAAAGGAACAGCATGAGCAGTCATAGAAGCTAGAAACACCATGACATATATGAAGAAACACAAGTAGATCAGAGTTGTTAGAGCTTCAAAGTGTGGCAGGGAGTGGTAGATAAGGCTTGACAAACAGATTTGAGCACTTGAATTTTATCTTGGAGGCATTGGGATACCTTTAAAGGATGTTAAGCGGAGGAGTAACACGATGAGATTTGGGTTTAGATCAATCACTGGCAGTAGAGAGGAAAATAGAATTGACAGGGATAAGATTGAAGTTAGGAGGCTGTCATTAATCTAGGCAAAAGAAAGATGATGATCTCTAAACTTGGGAGTTACGGTGAAGATAGAGAGGAGAGGTAGATTTAAAGAATATTCAGAAGGTAAAATCAGCAGGACGTTGTAAAAGATTGGTTTGTAGAGTAAAGGAGAAGGAGGGTCAAGGATGATTCCCAGGTTTTTGGCTTGGGTGACTGAACGCTAATACTGCCAGCTGAGATTGGTGCAGTGGAGAAACAAGTCTGAAAGACTAGAGGGAAACTCGGACTGCCAAGTTTGAGGTACCTGTGGAATGAAGGTAGAAATTTCAATACACAGTTGGATAATGGAGTTGAAGCTTTGAGAAAAGCTCCAGATTAAAGATAAAGATTTAAAAGTCATCAGCATATGGGTGCTTAAGAGAGGAAGTAATCACACACTTTTCTTTTGAGGGAAGGGGGACTGCCCTTGACCTCAACACCCCCCTCAAAGACCTCATTCTCTACTTTTAGTACGTGGAGAACAACAAGAATGCAGACAATGATTGGTTCCGACTGGAGTCCAACAAGGAAGGGACTCGGTAGGCAGACCCTCTTGGGAGGTGTGAGGGTGGGGATGTCACATAGCTTGAGCATTTTGGTGTCCCAGAGCCCACTGCCAGGCCTTTCCTGCCCCTTTCTGGTCTCCACTCCCACAACTCCAGAGTTCCCCAATTCCCAGCCCACGAGTCTCCCAGGCTGGTCACCTAAGCCAAGAAGATGTCATCTGAGTATTAGAAGAATGGGGAAATTGCACTGAGGTTTGGTCTGTGTTACAGGTGGTTTGGAAAATGCTGGTACATCCATGACCTCCTCAAATATGAGTTTGACATCGAGTTTGACGTGAGTATGATGGAGTGGGAATTATGGAGGTTAGTAGAACAGGAGGGATTAGGTGATTGTTAACAAGCTAACCTTTCTTGGAGGGACCAAAGATAACTTTTTAAATGGGAGGGAAAAGCTGAGGTTTGAAACAAGCATAGGTTATATAGTTATTCATCTCCATGTCCAGAATCCTGGTGTGTGACTGCTGCTTGATGAGTTTATAGAACATTTCAGTTCAACCAAGAAATGTGTATATCTGATTAGATTAGTTCCTTTCTATTCTGATTCTGTTTCATTAAAGCTTTATAATTCTTCCAGATTCCTATCACATATCCCACTACTGCTCCTGAAATCGCAGTCCCTGAACTGGATGGAAAAACAGCAAAGATGTACAGGTAGGACTGAATAGGAGATGGGAAAAGGTCAAAGAAGGCCTTGGGGAAGAACTCTCTGAGGCAGGAGTTTTCCCAGAGTCTGCAGGCCTAGAGAGACTCCAGGTCTCCCTCTGCCAAGCCTGGGCAAAGCACTTAGCTGACCTTGTTCTCAATTCTGATCACCAGTAGTCTTCCTGTGCTCTCAAGAACCTGCTGTGCTTTATGGTATACCTTGCATGTCAACACCTTCTGATCATCTTGTCCCTCTCATAGGGGTGGCAAAGTATGCCTGACTGATCACTTTAAGCCTTTGTGGGCCAGGAATGTGCCTAAGTTTGGACTAGCTCATCTCATGGCTCTGGGGGTAAGTTTGGAGTATTTGGTGTATAAGGGGAGAAGGGGTTAGGTTCTGAGTGGTATAAGAAAAGTAACTGAGAGTAAACAAGGAATAACAGTGTTTTCCTTTGGGCGTGTTCTCCTAGAATATCTGTAGGAAGGAGCTTCTGATGGAATAAGAGGCATTGATTGGGTGGTAGTAATCTCACAGGGTCTCCCTTGTATTGCAGCTGGGTCCGTGGCTGGCAGTGGAAATCCCTGATCTGATTCAGAAGGGAGTGATTCAGCATAAAGAGAAATGCAGCCAATGAAGGATCAATCCACTGAGGCAGGACAGAGGGACCTTCCATAGGCTACGTTCCTGTCTTCCTGTGCATCATTCTTTTTACTCATCTAACCACTTCCCCCCACACCCCTTCACCCATAATTGTTACTAAGTATCAATAGTTGCAGCAGACACTGCTGAAAAAAAACAACGGTACTGCTGCTGAATTTCTAAGTTGGGCTACACAGGAAGAAGACTAGGGCCTTGAAAAACCAAAAGGCAATTTATATCCCTTGTCCAGGTGGAGCAGTGTGAGGTCCTGGAGGGATAGGGGGTGATTGAAAGTGGGTACATAGTCTTTTTGGTTTCTGGAGATAACTCATCAATAAAAGCTGCTTCCTCCTGTGGCTTGTGGTTCTCATTGGTGGCTGTTAATAGAGGGTGAGCAGGCTTAGGGTCAGCAGGCTAAGACCCAAGGCACATGTACAACTATACTAGTTCGGAAGGGAAGGGGAAATGGAGGATGCTCTGGTCTGGAGCTGGGGAATGAAAGGAAATCCTGACTGCTCTCCCTGCTGCTGAGATCTGCTTTTGTCCTTTAGCAGGGAGCCTACTGCTTTGGCCTGCAAGATGCTTGACGACTGGTTTTGCAGGGCCAGTATTCCCTGCCCTCCAGGGATCTTCCCAACCCTATGTGGATACTTCACTGGTCTGTGGGCTGGACCCAGGCCCTGCATTCGCACCCCTGCTCCCTGGGAAGGATCTGTGCTGCAATCTGGGGGCCATACTACGATTGTCAGATCTATATCCTTTAGAGCCACGGGGTGGGGAGATGGGACTCTACTTTAGGGACTAGCTTTGGAGCGATGGTTTAAAGACAATTCTTGCCAAAGCTGGGAACTGGCGGTCCTAAAGTTGGCTGTGTTTCCATGGTGTCGGCGGCGGAGCCGAGGGGGCGGGTTCACGCAAGCGCCGAGGAAGCCGGTGGGTGGAGTCTGAGTGTGGGTGCGCAGGCGCCCTGAGAGACAGTGAAGCCGGCGGCCGGTGGCCGGGCGGGACCAACAAAGATGGCGGCGGCCCCTGCGGTGGGAGAGATCTGGGCACTAGCTGCGGCTAAAGCTGCAGGCGGGCCCGCGGGGGCGCTGCACGAGGGTAGTAGGGGGTGGCCCTGAGCTGGGGCCTGGCCCCGGCTGGCCTCCCCCGCCGCCTCACCCGGGGACAGGTACGGTCCGGGGCGTATGGCGTGGGGGTGCCGAGGGAAGACTGTTCCAGACCCGAGAGATCGCCCACCCCAAAGGCAGAGACGCTGGGGGCCCGGCAGGCCTGCGAGAACTGGGCTGGAGGGACCAGCATCCATGGATCGTGTAGAATATGCCGCTGGACCCCGTAGCCAATCAGCAGCCTCGGCCTTTCTGCCCTCGAGGGGGGCGGACCCGGTTGAAACCTCCTGTGGTGGGAGATGTGCAGAGATTAGGGGTCAGGGAGTTAGTTCGTCCTCCCTCCCCGCCACAGCCCCTGAGCCCGAACACCACTTTGGAGCTCAGAGGTGGGGGAGGGAGTAACCTTTTTAGTGTGCTTCATTTGCAGCCAGGAGGGGCAGGGGTTTGAGAATGGAATGCTGTCCTTGGGGCTGTTATACTTGCATCCACACCGCTATTTGACCAGAGGTCCCAGGTGACCCAGAGCACATCCCACTTGACTAGGCAGGTATGGGGGAACCTTCATGAGCACCTTGATTATAAAGACAGCCAAGATAGGAACTCTGTATCATTGGCTCTCCAGTGAAGCAGTATTCTGCAGGAAGGGCGTGAGGAATGTAGAAAGAGTCAAAGCCCTGCCTGCTACCATTCATTCATTCATTTACTCAATGGATACTGTTTACTTTGTGCCAAACACTATACTAGGCACAGGGGATACAATGATTGATATGATAGACATGGTTCCTGCCCTCCATGCATGTAGCTAGTATGGCAGCCTAGGTTCACACCAACCTCCATATTCAAACGCTGATCGTCTCTTCTCCTCCCAGGTCCAGCCTGTGGTGTCCACAATGCCCCAGGCTTCTGAGCACCGCCTGGGACGGACCCGAGAGCCACCTCTTAATGTCCAGCCCCGACTGGGATCCAAGCTACCATTTGCTCCCAGGGCCCGGAGCAAGGAGCGTCGAAACCCAGCCCCTGGGCCGAACCCTGTGTTACGACCTCTGCCTCCTAGGCCAGGTCCCCCTGAGGAACGGCTCAAGAAACTGGAGCTGGGACGGGGACGGACCTCAGGCCCTCGTCCCAGAGGCCCGCTTCGGGCAGATCATGGAGTTCCCCTGCCTGGCTCACCACCCCCAACTGTGGCTCTGCCTCTCCCATCAAGGACCAACCTAGCCCGTTCCAAGTCTGTGAGCAGTGGGGACTTGCGTCCAATGGGGATTGCCTTGGGAGGGCACCGCGGCACTGGAGAGCTAGGGGCTGCACTGAGCCGCTTGGCTCTCCGGCCTGAGCCACCCACTTTGAGACGTAGCACCTCTCTCCGCCGCCTTGGGGGCTTTTCTGGGCCACCCACCTTGCTCAGCATACGGACAGAGCCCCCTACTTCCCATGGCTCCTTCCACGTGATATCTGCCCGGCCCTCTGAACCTTTCTACTCCGATGACAAGATGGTGAGGACTTGCCAGCACATGCCTTCCATGCCCATGTTCCTCCATGCCTCCAGCTTTCTTGCCATCATATGGCTTTCCTTTCCCCTTTTTGCCAACTTCCTTTTTCACCCCCTTCATTTCAGTAGTTTGGACTCTCCTCTCCCTTATTTAAGTACCCTTAAGCCTCATAGACCCTTTCCAGGGTTGTCTGTGACTCCCCAGAATGGTGTGCCATTTCAGTCCCCAAGGAATAAACCATTTGGAATTCTTTGGGTCCCCAGGCCCTTACCTTCCCTTGCTGTACCTTGTCTCCTAGGATGCTGCCTAGGCCTAATTAATCTCTGGAGCTGAAGAGGGGCGGGCTCAGAACATCTGAGCTCGTGCGGTTGCCCATTTGCCAAGCTAAGTGAGCTAGGCTGATTGCAATTGGAGCCATCAGGAGAGGGTGCAGGAGGGGGCCTTGGGGGTAGCAAGGTGGGGGTGGGGAGCAGCTGGGCAACCATGCCAGTGCTTGGGGAGTTGCCCCAGGAGCTGCATCACCGGCTAGCTGGGCAGAGGAGTAAGTGGGGAATAGGTGGGACAGCCATGGCTGAGTCCGTGGTACACTCAGCTGTGACAGGCTTACTGCTCATGGCCATTGAGGTAGGGAGACCCTAATACCCAGTGACGGAAAAAGTGTAGAGTTTGGGGGTGAAGGATGGGGTGGGGAAGGCAGTGGGCAGCATGCTGTTGAAAGGTTAAAGTGCCAGGTGGGATATATGGGAACGTGCTGACTGTACTCTGACCTTCCAGGCTCATCACACACTGCTTCTGGGCTCTGGTCATGTTGGCCTCCGAAACCTGGGGAACACGGTGAGAGCCATTCTCCTGTCTTTCCTAACAGGAATATGAACTGGTGTTGGGGGCAGGCATGGGGAGGGAAACTTGGGGAAGGACAGCACTGAAGTTCTCCTAAGGCTTCCTAGGCACTGGTCTGGGGAGGTAATGGCACTGTCTTTACTGCTCCCCAGTGCTTCCTGAATGCTGTGCTACAGTGTTTGAGCAGCACTCGCCCTCTTCGGGACTTCTGTCTGCGAAGGGACTTCCGGCAAGAGGTGCCTGGAGGGGGCCGAGCCCAAGAGCTCACTGAAGGTGGGGCGACAACTCCTGCTCCCTTCTTTCAAGTCCTCTTTTCCCCAAACCCCTGTAGGTCCATCTGCCAGTGCCAGTGGCCCCAACCCTGAAAGCTGGCAGTTGTATCTGTTTTTCCCAGTGCCTGATTTCCTAGAGGTGGTTTTCCACCTTCTAAGCCTCCTCTTGCTTCCCTCTTCTAGTCATTAACCACTGTTTCCCTTCCCCACTCCCACCCTAATAGCCTTTGCAGATGTGATTGGTGCCCTGTGGCACCCTGACTCCTGTGAAGCTGTGAATCCTACTCGATTCCGAGCTGTCTTCCAGAAATACGTTCCCTCCTTCTCTGGATACAGGTGGGAGAGCTGGAGGGTATGGGATTTCTCTCTGGCCTTGTCTGGGGGTAGGGCCAAGCAGCATCATTCTGAGCCTCGAGACGCTCTTCATCCAGGAAGTGGGGACGGGGGTTAGTGACTGTGGACTAGGCAGGGGTCAGTTGCCCATGTTCTTTGTCTGACTGCAGCCAGCAGGATGCCCAAGAGTTTCTGAAGCTCCTCATGGAGCGGCTGCACCTCGAAATCAACCGACGAGACCGCCGGGCTCCGCCAGTCCTGGCCAATAGTCCAGCTCCCTCCCAACCCCGCCGTGGAGGGGCTCTGCTAGAAGAACCTGAGTTAAGGTAAGGTTGCTCCCCTCCTTCTTCTCCGCAGTGGTTTATCAGCAGCATTCATCCGTCACAGAAGTAAGCTAGTCAAGATTGAGGATGCAGGGTCCAAGGAAATACTTAGCTCAGAAAATGGTTTGAGAAGCAGTGCAGAAGTAGGAAGAAGGCAGGAGGAGGAGGGAGGCTGAGGGGCACAGACGGAGGCAGAAGATAGTGCTATGGCTGTCACCATATTGACGGAGGAGGGGATAATTCATTTACAAGGTACCTAAGGGGTCTGAAGCCAGGTGGAGGAAGACAGCATGTTCTTCCCTTGTGGACGTTCCTTTCTTTTCCTCTCACCTTGGATTTCCCCGGAAAGTCCTCTGAAGCATTACTCCTTTGTCTGTTTCTTGAAATTTAGAGAAGGAGCTGGGGTATGGGTGGGGTACAGGGCTCTGTGGATCATTTCAGTGGTGTTGGGGGTGCCCGGTGTTCCTGCTGTCTCATGGGTGCTCCCCACTTCCCTTGATCTGTCCTAGCGATGACGACCGAGCCAACCTAATGTGGAAACGTTACCTGGAGCGAGAGGACAGCAAGATTGTGGGTATGGAACGAGACAAAGCGATGGGGAAAGTTAGTGTGTGGGGGATGCGGGCTTGGCAGAAGAAAATCGATCCTATCCAGGGGTGTGGGAATAAGACTGGATGACGAAAATGTGGAGAAGTTGTGAGGGGTTTGTGAGGAGTGTCGGTGGTGGGAAAGGAAGGGTCAGGCAAACGGGTGGGAAGAGATGGGAATCCAAGGAAGCATCTCAGGCATCCCACAATGACTGTTTCTCCTGCCCCTGTGCTTCTGTCTAGACCTGTTTGTGGGCCAGTTGAAAAGTTGTCTCAAGTGCCAGGCCTGTGGGTATCGCTCCACGACCTTCGAGGTTTTTTGTGACCTGTCCCTGCCCATCCCCAAGGTGGGATTCCAGAAGATTCCAGGGGTGGGTGGGACATGGGTTCTGTGACCCAACCCTACCCACCCCCAGTGTGGGAGGGAACCCTGTGGGTCTCTGGAGCAGAAATGAAGCTTGGATTAATTGAGAAGAGTTGGAAAAGGAAATTCAGAACATGCTGACCCTTCACTCTCCTTTCCCCCCAGAAAGGATTTGCCGGGGGCAAGGTGTCTCTGCGGGATTGTTTCAGCCTTTTCACCAAGGAAGAAGAGCTAGAATCGGAGAATGCCCCAGTATGTGTGGGTTCACGAGGGATATAGTAAGGGTGGGAGACCTGGGGGGGCTCCGTAAGGGTAAAAGAGGTTGTATGATGCCTTAGTATGAAGGATAACACTTATATGTCTGGGTTTGTGTAGGAGTTTCAGATATGTCCTGGGATTCCCAGGGCGGAGGGCAGTGGCCCAGAGGATACAGAAGTAATAGGGAGCATAGTAAATTTGTATGTGAGTCAGGGTGTCAGAAAAGCCAACGGAGGTGAGGAGCACGTTAACCTTATACCGTTATTTTACATTTACTCAGGTGTGTGACCAATGTCGGCAGAAAACACGAAGTACCAAAAAGTTGACAGTACAAAGATTCCCCCGAATCCTCGTGCTCCGTATCCTAATCTTCAAATTCTTATTTCTCCCATTCATTCTTTTTCCTCATTCCCCATGTTTGCAGAGGTTGGATATTTGGGAATCCAGTTTTCCTTAGGAAAAGCCTGCCACTCCTCCTTTCCCTA